TCTTGCCATGTCTGACAAAGCAAAAAGAATGTGAACCAAAACAGTAAAATGAGATACAGGTTGTGAAGAGCCAATAAAACACCCTAAGAAACATGTAATTGGTGTGTGGCAGGGAAGTATTTGAAATGATTTCTGAACCATGAACAATCATCTTCAGGAACTCAGGGTGAAGGGGGCAAGGTCTCAACTTAAAAGACAGTGCAAAAGAAAAAAAGAATGCAAAGAATAAATTTATCAGTCAACCTTAATACATACAAAAATTACCAAGTAAACTCAATTGATCACTTTAAGAATTCTGAGAGATGATAAAGTGATCAATGCCAAACATTGGGAAGATCATTTCCCAGTAACATCCTGCTGAACTAATTTTTAGTTTTCCTTTTTAAACACACAGGAAGACCACAGTGAGTAAGGAGCAAGTAAACCCCATAGTCATATTCTGACTAAATGCTGAGATACTGCCACAAAATGAATTCCATGAGCTGCTAGGACTAGTCAGTTAGTAAGTCTTAAGCTGCATGCAGCCTGCCAATAACCCCAGTGTATCCCCCACATTTGAGGTGTAACACTGGAACCATTGCATCAGCTGTGCTTGAGGCTGGCATGGTCACATCCTAAAGCTGTGGTGGGGTGCAAGGCAGACAGGTCTTACTGAGGACTCTTTTACTACCTGAGATCAGTGCAACATCTGAACAACCTCTACTGCTTTGGACTCTATTTATCACTCCTCTAACAAATTTTCACTATGTCCACTAATCACAAAGCCAGGTGGTTAGTGAGAGCTATTTGAGCTACCACCTGAAACTGAGGTGTTCCTGCATTGAATCCAAATGTCAACCAAAGTTTAGGGTACTCAGGAAAGTCTGGCAGAAGTTCAGGTCTGAACATGAACAACTACAGAGCTGAACACTGTGCTTTGGCTGTGCCCACCACACGAAGTGCTGTAAAACACAGTGATACCTCCTTCCTGGCCATCTCTTGGAGCCGCCTGGGCAGGCGTTTAACATTGTGACTCATTGCTCGCCGTCGCATGTGCCTAGGGAGGGTCTGGAAAACCAGGGAGTTGGAAGACTTCTGTGAAACTGCTTTCAACATGGCACTGATCTCAGCAGCACGAGCTTGAGCAAAGGTAGACACTGGAATGAAAGAACTGCATCAGGGCATGACAAACAGAAAAAAAAAAACAGAGGATACTGCACATAAATTATGGAATTACTCCTACTACAGCAGTCCAGTATCTTCTTGACATAAAAGTAAGTCTGTACACTGTCACTGAAGAAATTTCAGTTCTTTACATATCCTGAAGTTTACCAATGTGGTCAAGCAAATATTTATACATGACTGAATCTCAAAGTTGTTTCACCAACAATTCCTATTTTCATTAAACACTTCTTTGTTAAATTAGAATAGCAATCTTTTCAGGTGGTATTCAGGGAGATGAAAAAATCTTTAGCATGGAGAAAAAAGTGGAAGCAGTAACATAATACAGCATACTGTTTTGAAACAATCAAATAAAAATCCAGAACTTGGTGTCATTTCATGTTTGTGGAAGTGTGTCTACTACCACAGCACTGCCCTATTTTGCAAACCTGATTTGCTCTCCTAAATAAACGTTCTGTTAGACAAAAAGCTATATTTAACTTACATCATGAGCAAAATCAGTTTCACTGGCTACATTAAAAGCAGATGACTATCAGTACTCATTTTGCTGGCAAACAGAAGCCAAAATGCACATTCCCTCACTACAAGCAGTGTAACTTTTCCATTCAGAAGTCTGAAAGGACTCACTGAACAACAGCTGATCATTAATTCCAGTTCACAACTACTTCTAGTTTTTGGAGAAAATCAGGAAAAACAGAAGATCATAGCATCAGTTCTAATTTTTGCTCTTGCACAAAAACAAAGACAGCAAACTTAATCACCAGCAAATTGCCCTGGACAGATAAATTATGACTTTTTCACATATACAGACCTGTTATGTATTTTGGCATCTCCTCAGATACACTCTGATGTCCTCCTTGCCATCCTCCTCTTCCTCTGCCTCTCTCTCCTCTACTCTGCCCCTTTGAAAAATATTGGTCTTTCCTGTAAGAAGGCCCAGATGACTGATTGGAAAATTTCTGCTGCTGCTCAGAATGAACATCTCCTGGAAGGTTTAGAGATGAAAAGAGGTTAGAGAAACACAAAATAGTCTGAGTAACTCCATTAGCCCTTCCCCATAAAACTGCATTGCAGACTCCTATTATTTTTACTACATGTAACTGAAAAAGTCACCAGAAATCAGAAGAATTATGTTCTTTCTTAAAGAAATAAATAAGAATTTTATGCTGCCCTGAAACAAACTTGTGGTAGATTAAGTAACTTTTGCATGCTCTGATAATGGTACACAATCCAGACTCTGCCTCCAAGAGTCAGAGCAAAATCAGTCCATGCAACATCATAGTGATTTTTAATATTGTCTTGTCAGAGTTTTAGTAACAAAACAGCAAAGTTATTTTTTCCACTTGCTCCTTGATTTTTTTTTTCTGTAAGCAAATGCATTCTTGCCTGACATATATTCCTTTTACAGCAATAATTAAGGTAAGCATGATACATGTATGTTGGTGCAGTAAGTTACTTGTCTGGTACAAGCACTTAAACCCATACTGAAATTAAATAACTAAAGCCTACAGTAAAGATTTCTAAGGTTCAGACATACCTTTCAGGAGTGCTAAGCACCTAAAGTTTCAGAGGGCCTTGAAGTCCTTATTCAAAGGCCAGTGTATATTCAGGCTAACAAAAACTAAATATTAGTTTAGATTACTTTATGTTCAGTTAAGCCTTAGTTAGGATTTCTACTACTACAACTTGAGACATGGTTCTCAGGCAGTTCATGCTGGACAATCCAACTAAAAAAGCTCCAGACAGCCATTCCTACCACCCCATTCACTGCATCAAGACAAGTGCTTGAGAGAACAAGGGGCCATAGCATTCAGGGAGCTTCTCTAGTGAAAATCAACCTCTGTGTCCACAGAAATTGAGTGAGAGATTAAAAAAAAAAATGTTTTCAGGTTGATCTTCTTAAACAAGCCTGTCCCTTTGTCCCAAAAATGCTGCCACTGGCATGAAGACTAGCCAGAAACAGATTCACATAGAGCAGCATCTCAATTTATAAGAACTTAAAAAGGTAAAGAACCTCCTTTTTCCATTCAAATAAGCAAGAAACTGAAGTTTTATGTTCAGCAGCAGTACTGTTGTAGCCTGCTGCAACCACACATCATGCAAAACTGCAGTAATACTGCAGAAAAAATAATTTGGTGTAGAAACAGAAATTAGCTTTTATGTGGAATAATTCCCTGACCTAGTTTTAGGCTTGCCTGAGAGCAGCATTGTCCAAACACTGAGGTGAAGGTGAGAAGGAAATAACTAGGAAAGAGGGGTGGAAGCTGTCTCAGTCAGCAAATCTGTGTAGGCCAAAATTAACTCGTATCACATACACACCCTCTTAATGAAGGAAGTAAAAATTGTAATCAGAACACAGAAGACTGTTTGGCAAAACAGTCACTGACTTAATAACTAAAAAACCCTTAAATTATTTTAGCTGCTGTATAGATTAATAATTTTGTAACTCCTATTTAGGATTGTGCTTTCCTATTTCTACAAAACAGCTCTGTAAAACTGTGATGGTGACACTACAGAAGAATAATACATGGATGAAAATCCACACCTTTTAACAGAAAGGAAAAACATAACCATGTAATCTTGGAAGTTCCCTGCTACAAATAAAGTTAGAAAAATGTATTTAATCTGGCAGTACTCCTGTAATGACATTCCAAAATCCTCAGACATAGCTGAGCATAATTTGCTATGTCACTCTGTCTGCTTAGGAACTCTTCAGTCACCTAAATACACAGTGACACTTAAGGCTTATTTTATCAGCCACAAAGATGCAATTTGTAAACTTCTGAAGGCCTCACAGGAAAACAAGTCCTTTTTTAAGTGGGGCTTTTCCAAAAATAATGTAGGTAACAAAATATCTAAATGTGAAGGTGGAGGTGAAAACTGAGGTTCGATTGAAGCAAACCACAAAGACAAAAAGAGCATCTAGCATAGAAGCTGACAGGACCCTTCAGTCTCCAGCTGCAAAGGTTACCTGTGTACCCAGGACACTGCCATGTGCTGCCTCCTGCCAACACCCTGCACAGCCACAGGAGCCACAAGCCCCCGGAGGCAAAGTGCTCGGGCATGCAGAGCTGAGGGAAAACCAGAGCGTGAGGGAAAACAGCACCACGGGACTACGCCAGCCCCTCCCGCAGCTCCCAGGGCTGGCGGAAAAGCAAGGGACAAACTGGACTGGGTATGACACCCAACGACCAGGAGCTGTAGGGATTCGCTATGCAATCGAGGGGATGATAGAGAGCAGGGCATATTCACAGGGTACGGAATAGTTTGGGTTGGAAAGAGCCTTTGGAGACCACCCCGTCCAACCCCCGGCCGAGGCAGGGTCACACAGAGCAGGTCACGCAGGAACAGGTCCCGGTGGTTGGGATGCCCTCAGGCAGGGAATGCCCTCGGGCAGGGGCTCCGCAGCCGTACCTGGGCTCGGGCACGCTCTGCTCCCGCCGCCGCCGAAGGGCCCCGGCTCGGCGGGCAGCGTGACGCTGGCCGGCTGGTTCCTCATCTTCTTGGCTCGCTTCTTCTCCCGCGCCCCAGACATCTCCGGCGGGGTTGCGAAGCCTCTCCGCAGCGGGCAGAGGACGGTAGGTCAGCGGGCGGTGCAGGTGCAGCCGCAGCCCCGGCACCAGCCCCGGCACGGCGCTCACCCGCGGCGCGGCCTCCACCGCCACACGTGGGCACCCACGCCCCGGCACCACGCATGCGCACTGCCCGAGCACAGCACCGAGGGACTACATTTCCCAGAGGCCCCCGCGGGCGGTGGTGGGCGGGGCGTGCTCTGGCAGTGCGCTTAGGGAGGGAGGGCAGGAGGAGCGGCCCCTCAAGTTTCTGCAGCTTCGGCAGCTTCGGCAGCGGCTCCTGCCATGGCCTCGCTCGTGAAGAAAATAATCAGCACTACTAAGGCCCCTGCACTGGGTCCCTACAGGTAATGCCTTAGATGAGAAAGATCTGAGAGTCTTGGCGCGTAACAAGTTGGCCATGAGCCGGCAGAGCCCTTGCAGCCAGTGCTTTGTGGGGTGCATGTGGAGCAGTGCCAGCAGGACAAGGGAGGTGGTCCTGCCCCTCTGGCCTTAGTGAGGTCACATCTGAGAGCTGTGTCCAGTTCTGGGCTCCTCAGCACGAGAAAGACAAGGGGATAATGGAGAGGGTCAGCAGAGGGGCACAAAGGTGATGGGGATCTGGAGCATCTGAGGAGAGACTGGGGGGGCTGGGCCTGTTTAGTCTGGAGAAGACTGAGGGGGGATCTCATCAACACCTATACCAAGGGGATGGTGCCAGACTCTTTTCAGTGGTGCCCATTGGCAGGACAAGGAGCAGCAGCCATAAACTGGAACAGAACAAGTTTTAGTTCAACATGAGGAAGAATTTCTTTATATTGAGAGTGGCAGAGCACTGGAACAGGCTGCCCAGGGAGGCTGCAGAGTGTCCCTCTCTGGAGACATTCCAAACCCAGCTGGATGTGTTCTGTGTAACCTTTATATTGAGAGTGGCAGAGCACTGGAACAGGCTGCCCAGGGAGGCTGCAGAGTGTCCCTCTCTGGAGACAGCTGGATGTGTTCTGTGTAACCTGCTCCAGGTGACCCTGCCTTGGCAGGGGGGTGGGACTGGATGATCTCCAGGGGACCCTTCCAACCCTCACAATTCTGTGGTTTTGGGAGCGGGAAGTCTCTTGGGAGGCACAAGAGCAGGTTTTGCTGGCAGGTTTTGGCAGGTCCTGGGGTTCTGTCAGGCAGACCTGGGGCTGAGGGGAGAGCAGGACCCCTGAGCAGGGGCCAGTCCTGGTACCCCCTGCCCCAGTGACCCCCAGGGACACCTGGAGTCCCAAAGCACCAGTGGGGCTGTGGTGCCACGGAAAATGCAGCCAGATGGGGGAGGGGTATAGTTCAAAAAGCTAGTTTGGGAAAATAATTCTGGAATTAGTGGTAAGGACTGAATGAAAAAAAAAAACCCAAAAAACAAACAAGGAAGAAGAATGATTGTTCTCCAGAGAAAGGTGCTTGGCTACAGACAAGCATGTTGTGCAGGGAAGCTGGAGATGCTGACTATGCAGGTGATGCAGAACGAAGGCTGAGCCCAATCCAGGATAAGATGCAGAATTCAATGCCTGGGAATTGAAAATTCTTTCTTATTTTGAATAGTTATAAATGTTTTTCAGTCTGAAAGCTTAACAGCTGGAAAAATATGTAAGATGTTCAACATTTTCACAAGTATGTTGCTGTAGCAGTTTTGCATATACTTAAAATCAAGAAAAATCCCAGTTTTAATTGGAGAAAGGTTTCTCTTTGCAATTTGGATATGAAAAAATGTTCAGTCAGTATAGTAGATTCTCATAGCTAAAGTCCTAAAGGATTTTTGCCAGGATATTTTCTAGGAATTTTTAATTCTATATTCAGGCTTTGTGTTCACAATAGCATCTTTGTGCCTTCCAGGTACATTTTTGTCTCTGTTACTTTGTGTCCTGAGCTCTCTAAGCTTCAAACTGTGTTTCTTATAGGCCTTATAAAGATGGAAAAATACAAAGTGTAGAAGCAGAGAGACATGACATGAAGGTTAACTTCTGTAAACAATAACTGTTGGTGGATTGCAGCCAGGGGCCTGGCATTGCTTGGCATCAGGAGAACATCTAAGACACAGGAAGGCAACAATGCACACACCACTAACTGTTGGTGGATTGCAGCCAGGGGCCTGGCATTGCTTGGCATCAGAACATCTAAGACACGGGAAGGCAACAATGCACACACCACGTCCCAGCCTTCAACATGGCTTCAACTCCAAAATGTTGTGCTTATTGGCAGGTTTTGGTGAAATACTGCTTATTGTGCAGCCTGTTAAATGTATTACGGGTCTAACATCAATAAGTTTATCACTAACTCAGTTTATCAGATTTTAGTAAACTTGTCAAAGTCCAGAGAGCAGAAGTTGCACAAGAAATAACTCCACATCTCTGCTGTGAGGTCTGGGCTTGGTTACACAGCAATGAGGGTTTCATGTAATGAAGGATTGGGATGAATGAGCTGCATTCATGTTCTGCTGCAGCCCTTCAATATGCTTTTTGGTGACCTATTTTTACTGTATTTTTCTGTTTCCTTTACTGCATCCATTTGCCAGTACCTTGAGATAGGTAGGTAGATATATAAAAAGACACATATCTGTGTGTGGGTCTATATATCTCATTAATGTTACTAACCTTTTAAAGGATACTGTTCTTCCATCAATCCACAATCATCTGTGTAAAGAAGATCTAATTAACAAAGAGCATGGTTCCTAACACCATCTCTCTGACACACAACGTTGTTCTATGGTCACAGTGTCTGCCCAGTTATGCATTCAGGCACTCTGAAACCTGAATGACTTCAGACACACATTCACATCCCTGCTGATTAATGAGTAGCTATGACTGGCCCTGGCTGTGAGGTGCATCTGCAGTTAAAGAATGACTGGGGGCTGTGGAGTTGAAGTTCCCCTCGGCTGCACTCGTGCATTTGAGTGCAGTGCAGGTGTACTCCTTGGCTGGTACATTGTTCCTGGTCTCAGGGAATGCAGGATTCCATTGGTGAGCACACCAAGAGGAGGAAGCTGAGCAGACCCAGTAAGGCTGCTGCAGATGTTGATCTGGCAGAGGTGTCAGGAGGCTTCAGCTTGTTCTTTCCCAAGTTATTCATGATTTAGGACTCTCAGAAGGTCTGTGCTGAGATAAACATTTCACTGTCATTTGCTGTGTGATAAGCAGGACAAGACAATCTCTTTTAGTGGAGAGCCCATTTTTTCTTGTTGTGCAGTTCTCTGTGCTTCATACACAAACAGAAGTTTGTGCTCTGAGGGCCTCCCTCCACAGCAGGCATGGTAGGAAAGAAAATTAAACAAGCTTTGTCTACATGCACACATTTCTATCCACAAGACTGTGTCAGCTAAAAAAACTGTTCACTGGTTTCTCTTCTTTGTATGGAGTACTTTTGTGATTTACTCCAGTTTTGTTAGTTGATGACAGAAAAAATAATCCCTGTGTAAGACAGTTTACTGTATCTGACAAAGTTACTGGCTATTTTTCCCCCTTATGAAATGCCAGGTGTAAAAGGAGAGATGGCAATGGTGGCATTGTTCAAACTGATCATTTGACTGAGTCCCTAGATTAGGTTGGTCCCCTGTGAGGTGAATGGATTAAGACAACCCAACTGAGCAAATCTCAGCTGAGAGATGCACTGAAGATATTCTCTGAATATGTTCCTCTTTTTCCATCAACATCAAAGGGAAGCAAACCTCCTGTTCGAGATACTTCAGGGAGGTGCCTAACTCTAGTTTGTGTAGCTTGAGAGAGTTGTTGAATGGTCAAAACAATGCATTTTCTTGTGGAATGAGAAGAGATATGAAAAATGGTGTTGACACACAATAAGCAATTCCAAAAGAATCTTTCTATAACTTCTTTGCAAAATATTTTTAATTATTGCTTGAAGATAATTAAATTGTGTCTCTTGTATAAAGTTTGCTAGAGTTAAATCTTTGTTTTCAACTTTTAACATCATTGTAGTAGAGACACTAATAATTGCCAAATCAATTTCAGCAAAAGCACACTTGACATTTTTATATAAACGTTTTGCAAATAGCTTGAATTTTGCATTCCTCTGAATTAACCCAGCAAAGAAGTCACTCAGGTTATTTGGTGAGAAGAGAGTGATTGTTCTGGGGATGGAGTGATCAAGGCATTTTGCTGACTGGCCAAATTCATTACTCTGGAGGAATACTGCCAGAGAACCAGGGTGCAGGATCTCACCTCACGCTGTAACTCATTATCTTAGTGCCTGTTTAAGAAGAAAAATGTTAAATCTCTTTTGGCTTTTCTTTTTTTCTTTTTTCCTTCCTTGCTCTGCAGCTGAAATGTAGTGGAAAGGTATTGTCTGCTTCTCAAACTGGGATGGAAAATTTATCTGGGCAGGTGCAAAAATGTTTTTATTTACTCTGCCTTCCCTCTGTGTTATTTGCTGTGTGGAACCTGTAGCTCAGTTTAGTGCTGTGTTGCTGCATTCATGCCTTGTGCCTTTGCAAGAAACAGGGTTTATCTCCTCAAGGGCAGAGCTTGGATGGTGTAATCCCAGCTCTTCAAAAGCATAAGCAGATTGATGTATAACTGCATGTACAGACTTGCATGAGCATAACCTCAGTCTTCTTCCTGATGCTGTATAAAGTTTGTAGAAATTTATGAAATGTGCTTTTGGATTTGAAATTTGGAATGTTTTCATGGGGAAACCTAAAATGGCACTTGTGCTTTCAGCCAGGCCGTGCTGGTGGACAGGACGATGTACATTGCAGGGCAGATAGGGCTGGAGCCTTCCACTGGGCAGCTTGTCTCTGGAGGGGCAAAGGAGGAGGCCAAGCAGGTAAGAAGTGCTCCAGCAATGAGCTTGTCATGGAGTTGGCATGTGTCTAATTAAAGGTGGAATTGTGAGAAATTGAGGAGACTAGAGAGCATGTCACATCCTCCAGATGGGGAAAATGGAAGTAATTCCATTTTAACTAATGCTGTCATTTTTCCAACAACTTGGAAAACTTGGAAGTCGGGCTAGAAATCTGTTTCACATAGGAAAGTATGAAAGAATCTGTTTGAAGCAAAGGTTCACACCCCAATAAAAACCCTGATTTGAGTCAGGGAAAGTTTTACTCCCCCAGCAGCAAAGAGCTGGGGTGAGATAATAGGATGAGATGGAGCTGTATCATGCATTTACATCTAATGAATGGGTGGTTTAACATTTATTAGATGCTCCCTCTTATTAATTTTTATTTAAGTCAGTCATTTTTTGACAGCAGAGGTTTTTCTGGTTGAACAGTAAAACATGGATTTGGCCAAGTCACAAGTTATAGTTACATAGTTACATAAATATAACCCAGCTGATAGCTAAAAGATTTTTGTTTCATTTTTCTTTAGGCTCTCAAAAACATGGGAGAAATCCTGAAAGCTGCAGACTGTGACTATGGCAATGGTAAGTGCAGCTGTCACTCTGGCAAACAGGTGGTTGTTTTTACCTGAATTAAAATATTAAAAAATCAAGTGATCTTAAAAAAAAAAAGCTGTTTGCTGAACATTCAATTGTTACCAACAGCTGAAAGAAACAAAAGAAATTGTGAATTTAGGTTAAAAAATAAAAGAAATTAATCTACATGGAAGTCTTTGCAATGGTATCAATGGAACACTGTCTTTCACCAAAAATTTCTGGCAATGGTACTGATATTTGAATTCCAACTGAGGAAGCTCAGGTACAGACAATGTTGCAGTGACTACAGACATTTTAAGCATCCTAGGCTTTGCTCTAGTGAAAGCAGGTTTGTATCTGTGCTGTCAGTATTCTAGACACTCTCAATACTTTTTGGGTGGAGGATTCTACTGGTGAAGCCACACCAGGATTAATGCTGGGTTAGGCAGTCCTGGGAAAAAGTTCTAGAACAGAGTAGATTTTCAGACCTTCCATGAACTTTTTTTTTTCTGGCAGCAGATATTATATGTAAGTTATTGCCAGCAGCTTGCTTACAACAGCTATTTTAATTGATCTGCTTATCAGTTCAGTGCCTCTTGGGAGAATTTGGCTTTTTCAGATCTAGTCAGGAATGGCTTAATTCCTTAAAGTTTTATTGCATACTAGGTGCTCAGATTTTTTTACATGGTTCCTTAGGTTGCAGCTCTAATGGTTAATAACTGCAAAACTTTTCAAAATGTTTAGAATACTTGAGAGAGATGTATGAAATAAAAGTAAGAAATGAACTGAAGTTTTTCTTTTTATGCAAGTCAGAGGTCTAAAATAACTGCACTTACATAATTTCTAGTTGTGAAGACTACAGTTTTGATGGCAGACATGAAGGACTACAATGATATTAACGATGTTTACAAACAATGTAAGTAGATATTTTACTTGTGTTTTACTATTATGGCTTGTGGAACAAATTATGGTAGTCATGGTAGTCAAAAGTGTTCTAATGACTCAGATGATGTAGTTCCATATTCTTTGAAATTCCTGTAGAAATGTGTTTTCAAATTTCATTTTCAAGTATCAGATCAAGCAGAGCCTAATTTCGTGTGGCTTTTTATTCTACCTTTCCACTAACTAACTCACTGTTCTGTGAAGATCAGCTCCTGCTATCCCTGCAGGCTGATCTTCTTTGCCTCTTACCTTGCTTGCTGTTCTGCTGTCCTGGCTATAATTCTACTGTAGCAGCCTTCAAATGCTGAATTTCAGATTTTATATCTCCATTTCTTTTAAGTCTATACCTTTGAACAATTTGAGAGCCATTGTTATGAGACAGAGCTCTTTATACAGGGATGAGCCATGCTGCTTCCCTTGAAGAAAAAAAGAGAACAATGCTTGGTCAACAAAAGTGAATAGACTGAAATAGGTGATTCCAACAAGATATGTGCAGAATAATTTGGGACAATTTGCATGATCTCCTTATTGATAGAACTATGGTTTTTAATTAGATAGCAACATCTGGTCTTGAATGAAGTCTCATTGCTAAGCAAGTAACACAGTCTCCTAGTTGTCAAAATGTACTGGGGGGTGTGTGTGCTTGAGCAGGGTAAAACCAGACCAGCTGCAGGCTTGGTTACTTGTTGCTTCCAGCCTGGAGTTTGAGAAAACAGTTGCTGCTGTTCTGTCATTGTGAGTTATTATCTCAATTCAGGACCCAAACATTTCCATTATTAACAGTTTTGTGATAATTGTCACTAGTAAAACTTTGACTTCAATGTGCAAATGTCTTGGAAGTGTTCAGTCAGGTTGAATGGGACTTTTACCAGTCTGATATAGTGAAAGATGTTCCTGGCCATGGCATGGTGGTGAATTGGACTATGTGATCTTTAAAGGTTCCTTCCAACCTGAAATATTCTAATATTCCATAAATTCAGCTCTTATATCTTTACCACTACCCTTCCCCATGCCTTACCCCTGTTCTAATATCTGTGGTTGTCAGGTCTAAATGGGCATGGAGGAATAAATCAAGGGTCTATTTTTCCTCTCTTTTCCTTTGACAGGAGTAAGGTTGGACTCCTGGTGACTTTATGTGAATCTGGGATCTTTGCTCATGACTCTTGCCAGGGGCCTGTTTCTCTCTCCTGCTCTTTCTGTGAAAAAGCCGTCTCCCACTCCCTGGTGTTTGAAACTGGATGATCACCATCCTGATTTCATCATCCTTTTTCAGCCAAGTTGGTGTTAAGGCCCTGCAGTGTCAGCAGAATGCAAGTTATCACTGGCTTGTATATCACTGCTTGGGGGTGAGTGCTGGCTTGCTGAGATTGAGAGCAGTCAGTCACCAAAGCAAAAAAAAACAAGGGGAAAATGATAGCTGGCATAGAACTCTTGTAGCCTTGAACCTGAAACTGTTCCAGTGATTTCATTCTATACAGATTACTTTGAACTTTTTATCAAGCCAAGGTTAGTGATTGCTGAGTGTTTCTGTTTAAATTACAGTTTTCAAGGCAAACTTCCCAGCCAGAGCAGCCTATCAAGTTGCTGCTTTGCCCAGAGTAAGTGTGACTTTTCTATCTACAAAAAAACCCAAAATGTTCTGGAATACCTTACTACTGAAGCATTCTGACAGCTTTTCTGATTCTGAAAGAGCTTTGATTGCAATTATTTTAATAAAGACTCTTAATTAGTTTCTTTTCTAAGTATACCATTGTTATTCCCACACATTGTCAGAGATCTGAATAAGAGATACATATTTCTTCATGGTGGAAGAGATAAAACTTTAGAAATAAGGGGTTATGATACTTGAGTAAGCATAAATTGAATTTACAATATTACTGAACATTGCTAAATCAGTAATACAACTGTCAGAAATATAATCTCTCTCAAATGTCACTGTTTTTTATGAAGTTGTGTTGTTCATCCAATTGCTTGATAAAATAGATAGATTAAATTCCTAATATGTTTCTTCATTGTTTTGTCACAGGGGGCCAGAGTTGAGATTGAAGCTATTGCTATTAAGGGACCTCTCCAAGATGCTTCAGCATGACTATAAGTGGAGACTGGATATCTTACAATGACAGTTGTAGATTTAGTTGATACTTCTCCCTTATATCTGATTGCTACAGCTGACTTACAGCAGTTACACACAGTTGAAATCAGTAAACTTACTGAGGAAAGGTGCTTCTTTCAGGACTTACAGTGAGTTCTCTGCTGGCCAACCCTGAAAAGTGCCTGAGTCCTGCTAAAATCAGCTGAGCCACGTTGCAGGACAGACCCTGCCCTTTGTGGAAGTGACTGGATGTCCAGGTATTAGGGTACATACCTGGGTGAATGTATTAGAGTTACACTATGGCTGATCTGGACATGGAAAACTATACTGATTTGTAATAGTAGGTTTTTAGTAAAAAAATTAAAATCAGAAGAAAATTACAGAAATGAGAAAGCAGAGCACTTGAATTGCTTAGCATACATCTTCACTTCTGAGGAATTTTACTGTATTTGCTTCTGAATTTTCTAAACCTCTTTCTTTACATAATAGATTACTGTTGGGACTCAGATTTTTTCATATGTAAGCAACTGCTTAACAAAGTTAATATTAATTTCAGAAAGAAGAAAATTATGATTTTCTGAAGTGGTACCTTTATACATCAGATGAAAATTAATATCTACATGTAACCTTTCTCGTGATCTTTTTCATAGCAATTCAACTTTGATTGTTTTGATTTTAAAAAACAATAAAAATTAAAAAATGTTAAATGAGAATAAAATACAATTGCAACTGCAAAAATGTGCTTGTCTATTTATGGGAACAAACTTTTCTTTTCCTGATTGTGGTTTGATACTCCATCACAAAAAAAGTCTCCAGCTTGCTTATCCAATAACAAATTTGAACCAAAAGAATAGGCTTATCTACATCCTGATAGCTAAAGATCAAATTTTCCAGGACAGGAAGCTTTCAGCTACCATCATCATAGTTCTTGTAATTTTGTCCTCTGCCATTAAGGTCAGAAGCATCAGTTTGATGCAGTGATTAAGCAATATTGAGAAATCCAACTGGTGATGCTAGTAACTTATCCCATCCCTCTGTACTGATCTTCTGCCAAGTAGAAATGGACACTGTGAGAGCAGTCAGCCCTACTTACCAGTCCTAGCTTTGATGTGAAACAGCCATTCCTTCTTTTCACTGAGCTTGTAAGTTGTACCATTATAGCAAAAAGATTCCTAATGAGGTTGTCACAGCAAATATGTGCAGATATAAGGATTTTTATAGTATTACCTTGCTTTCTCTGGGAGATAATTATTTTTATTAGAAGCAAGATAGTGCCTTTGTTATTTCAAACACCAAACTTCCAAACAGCCTTTGAAAAATGCCTGATTTATCTCTAAATAAACTTCCTATACATAAACTGTGATTAGTTTTTGCTCCTGTTCTTGTTCTGTCTTCTTAGCTGTACTAATAAGGCAACCTATGCTCTATACCTCTGACTCCATAAGCAATCCCACCTAAGAAAAAACATGGTCAGATGTGTTAGGAAGGAGTTGGTACTAACTAATATGGCAATGATTTTCTAGGAAACACAAAGCAGGTGTTCTTTCATTTTGTCAATTAATAATTTAAAATAATGTAATTTGAGTTATATTTAAACTTTTAATTCAGGTTTAATTCCTAATTTATATTTAGGCATTTTGTCAATTAATAATAATTTAAAATAATGTAATTTGAGTTATATTTAAATTTTTAAATCAAGTTTAATTCCTATTTAGATTTCTCTGTTACAGCTTTGTTCAGGTGTAATTATTTGGTAGGGATCTATTTCACCGATTTGTAGGAGATTTCGTTCAAGTTCACTGTAAATCATCTGATTTCAATTGTTTTGAACCTGAGCTGTGTTCAGCCTTTCATAACCACATTGGTTATCCCTTCTTGCTGCTCCCTGCCTTCCCAGCTGTCCCGCAGCCTTTGTGCCCTCCTCGAGCCCAACACTAGATGGCAGCTGCGGGATTTCTGTGCCTTGGCCGGTGAAAGTCCATTATTGCACTCCTTGAGACTTTCGGTGCTGGGAGAGTGAATACACCACAGCAAGGGGTACTTGGCCGGTGAAAGTCCATTATTGCACTCCTTGAGACTTCGGTGCTGGGAGAGTGAACACACCACTGCTGTCCACAGCAAGGGGTGGGCTGAGACTGAGATGATGAAATGAAGCACCTGGAAAAAGTTCCATGCTGGATGCAGCTAACAAGGCAGAACATACTGCTTCCATTACGTGTTTTTATCAGTAAGTAGGTGCCATTCTGCAAAAACTCAGGAACAGAAATTCCCTTTTAGCTTATATTTAAATATATAGCCTAAATATATATATAGTAGTAAAACATGTAGGTTTTAGACTATATATTTAAATCAAAGCCATTCAAGACATTTTCTTGATGTGTATCCTTCTGCTACAGGAAGTTTAGAATAACTGAAATAAACTCTCTTATTTACAGCTCTAACATAGTCATTTTCAAAATAAAAAATCAGCCTTCCACAGAGAAGTGTAAAACATTTGTTTTATTTAATCAGAGTTATATTATTTGAGTCTATTCTTTAAAACAGAAAGGCCAACACCCATGATTCTCCAATATGAAAAGCCTATCTCCTAGGTCTTAATTTGCAAACAACTAAGTACATAGACATTTAACAAATCCAGTTTTAAACAGAGGTATGTTAAAAATGTTTTTTTTTCTTTGCTAGACTGAGCTGCATGCAAAATACCAAGTTGCAATTCATCTTGTGGCATCCTGATTTCAGCATTTAAAATCTGTTTCTATCACATGTAACTAAAAAACCACAGCAAAACATCTCTTTCTGTGAAAGTAAGGCAATGTATAAAGTACTGAAATGTGTATGTTCTACTAGGTGTTTCTTTTAGCAAAATTCTTCTTTAAATTATTATATTCTCTACAGATTAAACAATGCAAAAAATAAATTTCAGTACCTAGTTTTAATGAAATTGTGTTCTCTTAAACCACATAAACTGCCCCAATCTTCTTCTACCAGCACTTGCTCTTGCTGCAGTGTTTACCTAAAAGCAGTTCCTCATTGAGTGAAAGAGCCAACCCCAGCCAGATGGGCAGGGATCTTCTGACGCCCTACAGAGTGTGTATGTGTCTGCACAGAGCTGACAGGGTGCAAATTTAACTCTTCTAGGGCTGTGGTTATTGGTAATTTGAAAAAAAAAAATTTCTACCAGAATTTTCTTGTTAGCTTGGAAATTAAGTTTGTTCTTTCAAGTGCACTGCCCGGCACTCCCTTCTGTGAGGCATGGTTACTTCTACCTTGGATGAAGTTGAGGGCTGAACATTGTTTAGCTTTTGATAAAATGCAAAACAATCATCAAAAATGCCTGACTGTATTTAAAAAAAAAAATTATGTTGATAAGGTTTGGAGACGTATCCTATAAACACAAATATTGCAGCATATCCTCCTTTTCCCAACCTTTAACAGGAGAAAACTCTTTGACAGACCAATTAAATTTGCTTAGTGGGGATGTCTTATTTCTCAGGGCAGGAGTGTTCAGCATATTTCTAGCAAGCATATTTTGATAATTTAGGTGATTTAACTTTTCATGTTTAACATAGATAGTATCAAGCGTATTTCCTCTTTGGGAAAGGAAAAAGAGAATTCGCCTGTTGTGATTATAGACTATGTAAGGATGAAGAGGATTGAGAAAGACTGTTACTCCTTAGTTACTGCCTGGTTTATATTCCTCTTGTTTTCATCTGCACTGCTTAATGGCCTGAAGAAGCTGAACAGTGAGGAAGAACATACATAGTTAACTCTCTTCCTTGTTACAACAGTGGTAGAAAGAGTGACTCCGAGGTGGGCAGGTCATTTTGACTCCCTTGTATCTTCACATTTTATTTCCAAGTGCAGTCTCCTCTGTTGCTATGAATACTGCTGATCTCTGTCACAGAGCTCTTGTTGGTTTATGCTTTAAAAAAGTTTAATGCTTGCCAGACTGCAGTTCATGATCTTGCCAGTAGCAGCCTGTCTCTGCCGATTTAATCTCCTGTGTTTTGGAGTGGGGCTGTGCTGGCACATGTGCTGGTGGCTGAACTGAATTCCCAGCTCACAGGAAGAAATCAGGCATGAGATGCAGCTGAAGATGGAAGTTCTTGGGGCATCCTGGAACATAGCTGTACACCCAGCCCAGTTCCATGTCACTGTGGGGTGTTCTCCTTCTGTTCAGTACCTGTTCTCCCACTCCTCAGCTCTTGAAAGTGCATGGTGTTGTTTTTCATGGCTTCTTTTCATGGAATGGTTTGAGTATGTGGATAAAAACTTTGACTACTTCTGTTTGAATTTTTGATGCTCACTTTAATGTCAATAGATTTTTTAATAGAACTAGAAGCTCGTTTTAGCTTCTCTATTACAGAAGGCTAGAAAAACTAAAAAATAAAGTGACAACCATCTAGCAAAATTCCCTAAAAAAAAAATGGTATGCATTTGGGTCTTAAAAGTTTATGTTTGTGTTGTTGCCTACAGGAAGTTGACATTAAATGAAACTGACAAGTTCATAAGAATGTTGCTCAGCAGAAAACCTTGGATTTAGTGATACAGCCAAGAGCTATCAGCTTATACAAAAGGTTAATAGGCCAAGGGTATCAATTTGATTATTTCATACAGACCAGAGTCAGCTGGAGTCAGACATGTACATGCAGTATGAAATTATCTCTTAGAGGGGATTTGTATAATTTGCTGGTGACAGGTAGGATTTTTGTTAAGTCCTTTTATACAATAAAGCTAACAAAAGGGCAATACTGTGCTTGCCATTTTTAGGTAACTGATCTTTTCTCCATTTCATCCTTATACCAGAGATCTTGTAAACACAATCCCCAGCAATGTATTATATGGAGTCTCTTTGCACAGGACAGAGCCTCAAGCTGTGCCAGCAGAGGTTCAGGCTGAGCATCAGGAGGAATTTCTTCACATAAAAGGGTTTTCAAACATTGGAATGGACTGCCCAGGGAGGTGGTGGAGTCACCATCCCTGGATGAGAAATGACTGTACGTGGCACTTACTGCCATGGTCTAGTTGACAAGGTGGTCTTCAGTCAACATTTTGACTCAAGTAATTTAGAAGTGTTTTCCAACTGAATTGATTCTGTGATCCTGCAACATTCACCACCAGAAGAAATTTATATTCTTTATCTGAGCCAAACCACAAATCCTATCCAGGGCCTGTTTCACAGGAAATTTGTTTGAAAGTATTGCCATTTTCATCTCTGCAATTGATTTTGGAAAAGAACCCAGACAGTCCCTGATAGCATATTTCTCCAGGAGGACAGCAGTCCAGGGGAATACAATAGATAACCTTTTCTTTGGGAACAGATTTATATTTGTTTCTTAGGCAGGTTGGTATTTTCTCTCTTAGAAGTCCATTTTAGAAGCCACAAATGCATATGAGGAGAGCTACACAGCTAAAGACAGGTTATTATTGGCCGTGAATGTTAACACTGTGAAGTTATCTTCGAGGATTTATACAACTAAAACAACCCACTCAGTTAAAAATTCCCCCTGTACTGCACTACAATCCCTTCAATAAATTTGAGTTTAAAAATGGGGAGTGAGCAGCACACAGCTGGGTCCTGGACATTGCACTCTGTTATTTTCTATTTTCAGGAAAACTCCCCTCTGCACTTCGTTAGAGCTTGGTACATTTCCTCTCCCAGTCCTCTACATGCAGTACACTTCAGCAGCTGCCTACATTGGTAGTCCAGGCACTCAGAGGAACTGCCTACATACAGTCATTTAAAAAGAAAAAAGCTACACTCTATTCTTCATGCTATACATTGTTGGTTGAAGGTTTGTACAATTTGAAGCCAGTTAATCTGAACCTGGGAAAAACTCCTTATTGGAAAAGGAATGATCATACTGCCGTTGAAAAATTATGCTGGTGTGTATAGAAGGCACTCTGTGGCAGGGAGATGAAAGTTTGGGTATTTCAAACACTTGAAGTCTTGGCAGCTTGACTTCAAAAAATCTGTATTATATAAAACTTTTTCTGATGCCTCCTATTTATGTGTCTGTAGCTTGTGGTTCAATCCATAAAAGCCTTTATATTTTCCCAACCCAATAAAATTTAAAAATATTCATGTGAACAGAAGAGCAGGCCAAAGAAGAGGACATTCATTGAGACATAACTTCTATTCCTTGTTATTAGCTGTCTCTGAAACACATGGAAAAAATTAATTTAGCAATTAATTGAAGGTATAAATTGATATGCACTAAACCTGACAGGAACTCCAAGTGAAAGTTCCCTGGAAGTATCACAGGATGAAGGGGATATCTGCTCTTCTCCCAAATCTGTAGGAATGTTCTGTGTAGACCTAAAAGCAAGCACTGGTTCTGCTCCCTCTTCCCCCATCCCATTCACACCCAGTCACAGTTTCTGTCACAGACATTAGCATCACCTCTGTGAGTCACTGCTACAGTCTCGAGCTCCTCCTCACCCTGCTGCCTTTTCTCTTAACAACTTTTGAAATCACTACATCCTTCCAGTCAGATTTGACACAGAGGCAGGCATTTCATGGACAGTGAATCCTAAGCAAGGACAAGAGACAAAGGGCACAAATTGAAGTACAGTGTAACTTTAAATACAAGATTTTTTTTTTCTTTTTCTATAAGGACAGTTAAGTTGTGGGAATAGGCTGCCCACAGCTGATGGAGTCTCCACCCCTGGGGATTCAAAACCCAGCAGGACAACCAGTTCCTGCTTGAGCTCCAGAGGTATATACTGGGAATACCTATTCCATGACAGAGTATGGCTGAGGAACTGTGTCCAGCCCCTGAAGCTACTGTTGGCCATCAGCAGCTGAGAAGCTCTGGGGCTCACTTGATAGCCAGAAGACATTGCCCAAGGGGGTGACTGGCTGAAATCACAGTGTCTGGCCATCCCAGCTCAAAGTACTCCTTTCCCAGCTAGAAGACTCAGCAAGGGTAGGGAACATGAGAACGTGGGACTTCCTCACACTGAGTTGTGGTGTTCCATGAGGGTGGGTAAGGAACACAGGAAAGGTGGGAAATTTTGCATGGGAATGAAGGTGACCAATGAAAGCCACCCAACTGCAGTGATTCTTTGTAACTAGGATTGTTAATATAACATGAAAAAAGCCAACTCCCTTTAATGGTTTCAAATTCAACACTCTTTGCATGTTACTGAGCATTCCCTTGTTCTTAGGTGGACATCAGCTACCTTTAGAGCCCGATTTTTTTTAACTAGGATCAGCTTGTATCCTCTTAGTCATGCCCTCCTAGAGACAAAGCTGTGAATGTTTTTGATGTCTCTCAAAGTAAGAATTTTTCCATTCCCTTAAGCAGTCTTGCTTTCCTGCCCAGAATCTTGCTTTATTTCTCCAATATCCTTTCAAGATGGAAGAATTGCTCCCTTACACAACAGAATCTCAGGTTTAAATGGTCACTATTCTGTTCTTAGCATTGTTTGCTCCTCTTGCCTGCAGCTGTTCTCTGAGCTGGGTCAGTGCACTCCCATCATCTGAAATGCATTACAGACAGAAGCAAGGCTGCTCTTTCTGCTCCCTTACAAAACTATTGGGAAAATACTGTCAAAGCAGGCAAATGCAGGAAGAATTTCAACAGAGCTGTAATCATCACTGGGTGAAATTTCTGGTAATGTTCAAGGCCTAGTTGGATGGCGCCCTGACCAACCTGATCTAATGGGTGGCATCCCTGCCTATGGCAGGAGCGTTGAAGCTAGGTGATCTTTAAGGTCCATTGAAACCCAAGCCTTTCCATGATTCTCTTACTCTTCAGGAGCAGGAAGATGTTCTTTGAGGTTTCCTAGAATCAAATTAAGTGCTTTGCTGAATTCACAGCACAGTGTTGATTCTTTGCAAAAGCATAGGAGCTTTTAAAAAAGACATTATTTTAAGACATTAAGAACAATTTGATTGATTAAACTTGTTTTTACTTCATAGGCTAAGCTATCTGGCATAAATTTAAAGATCCTGCAAAAGAACTGTTGTCAATGGCCAAGAACTGCTTGTCTTCATAGGCTAGCTTAAAAAGTAAAATCTGTAAAGATGAGCAACCGTCAAACATGAAAATTAAAGGGAGGTGAGCACTTATTTTTTTTTATCACTGCTGATCTAATTTTACTTGGGTAATCACAATGTCATAAAGGCACACAAGCCTTGACCAAACTGCTTGACCACCACCCTACTTGTCTTACAGGCTGCAGTGCTTGTGCTGAAAACCATTTCCCTCAGCCCTCTGGCAGGAGCATAAGCAGCAGTGCAACATGCTGGTTTACCCTAAGGCTGTGACACATAGCACTGGGAAAGGACCAAAGACTGCTCACCCCAAGTGCAAGGGGCTCCTTTGGAAGTCATGAAAGACACTGGTGTGAGGTATCTGCCACCCTTTCTGCTGAAGATGTTCTCATGTGAATTACAGAAATAGTCGCTAGCCCAGAGAGATTCTGAGCATGACCAAATACGCCAGTGATTAGGAGGGAGGGGAGAGGGTGATTCCAGCTATTGCAGTAACATTTGCTGGGGGAAAGGGGGAGCTGCATTGCCTGCTCATCCTTTTCCACATTCCAGCAATATCATAGGGTAACCTGTGGTGGTGGAATCACCATCCCTGGAGGTCTTAAAAAAACTGTGGAAGCAGCACTTAGGGACAAGCTTTAGTGATGGACCTGGCAGCGCTGAGCTAACAGGTGGACTCAATGATCTTGTCCAACCTAAATGATTCTGTGATTCTAATTCTGCCTTCTGGGCATGTGAACACCTTACATGACAGACTCAAGTGTGAGGTTCTTAGTGAATGTGGAGGAAGAAGAAATAACTTTTGTAGCAAGACTGTGGTGACAGAATTTTTCCCATAATCTCTATCTGCTAGAGGGATAATCTTATCCCCTTGAATTTTTATCTTCACTGGTGTGACAGTTTTCCAGAGGAACTTTATTTGGCCTGTGACTTTCCTTCCCACCATGTGACTGAATATGCTGTGTAATGTGCTTTCATCACAGCACCACACTGCTGATTTCAGCTGATAAGGAGAACAAGGGGATCTAAAATGACTGGCATAGAATGGAAATCACAAAGCAGCATTAAGGCTTAGCTTACAAAGACAAGCCTGCAAATAATAATGAGCAGAGTCATGGCTTTAACAAAGGTTTTTTATTTTCCAAGACTGCATGTTACAGTCTACCATTTTTCCCAAAGAGGGAAAAGTTATCACTGATAAGGCTTGTGTATTATATAAAGATGACCCATGTAAAAAGCATGACTTCCAATTGGTTGCTTCCAAAAATGTCTTTTACTGTAAAGTATTTTTGACTCTCTTGTGTAAAAATGCAGAAAGCAGCTGTATGCCTACAGGGGAATAATAAGATATGCCCAATAAGGACAGGACAGTCTTTGCTGTCTCTTAAACAATAACCCATGTGGTCCTTCCCTCCTCTGTCAACATACCTATCTCTGTCGCTGCTGCACTATCCACAGCTTCTCCTGTTTCTTCTTCTTTTGTTTCAGGCCCTTCACTTACTGTCTCACTGAGCAGCTCAGTTTCCACCTGTTCTCCCGTCTCACCTGGGAATGGTAACCATGGAGATCAAATTAGGATCCACTAAAAAAAAACACCAAATGCCCCAGCTCCTTTCTGTAAACCTGATTTTGCTTTGCAAGCTCTCCAATGCCCATTATCAAGGTACCCCCTGAATGAACCCAGAGAGAACAAACAGGAAAACAAATACTCCATCATCCAGCTATATGGTTGCCTCATGCACATGAAGTTCTCCTAATGCTTTCACAAAATCCCCTTGATGCTGTATCCAAAGGAAATAATGAGTGCTATTTCTACACAAATTATTTTTTCCTGAATTTTATTTCATAGATGTGCAGTTTTATTTGCAATTGGAACAAAACAGAAATAGAAAACATGGTAACAGGCAAGTCTGGCTGAAACCTTGCTTTCCCAGGGAAGCTGCAGCCTAACTAATTTCCTGCCATAGCTATGGAAGCACAAAGGGAAAGCAAAGTATCATATGTACCATAGCATTAAAATAGAAAATCCCTTCTTCATCAGATGCCTCTGGGAAGAGAATGCACACAAGTTAAGGTATTCCTTCTACCTTGGAAATAATAGGAGCAAATTTTTTTTCCCCAAAAGCTTCATTCACTCGCCCTGCACACATCACTTGATGCTAGAAGCCCCACAACTCATCTTTAGACAGACAGACAACTGTAAACATGCTGTCACTGATGAGATGTGACAGCACAAGGTCCGGGGTGTGCTGCTCTGCCTCTGGCACTGCCCTAAGGCTTAGAAATGGTGAATAATGAAATTGGAGTTTGCAGCTGGGCAGGATGTGTGCTTAACAGGTGAGCAACCTGTCATTTACTGCTTACATAAAACAAAACTTTATTCCAAAGGATAGATGATTATGTAGAAGACAAAATTCTTTCACGAAGAGACACAGGAAAGGACAAAGCAATCCAAGGACCATGCTCAGCTACAAAGGATGAGCAAAGAATGAGATCCATAGAGCCAGTTCAGAGACAAGCAGCACAAAGCCACAGGAGTGGTGGCAGTGTGTGTAACTGGCTCTGGACTTCACACGGATCAGTCCTTCTGCACCTCACACTTCTTCAAGGCCAAAGTGGAGTAAGGATGGCTCCCTGCAGAGAAATACTCCTCACATGCTCCACCTGCTTATTCCCTGAAGAAGAGCTACCTCAGGAATGCATCTGATTCCTTACTGAGCTACTTTGTACCTTTTAGGAGAAATCTGATTCCTCCTGTGAAGTTTTCATCTTCTGCAAGTGCAGTCCACGTCCTCTGGGCACTAACCCAAGGAGGAGCATAGCCTGCAATTTCCAGGAAGGAGCACACCTCCTGCTAAAGGTCCCTTCACAGCACATGGAAATCCCTGTCACCTCAGACACCACTGCTTCCTCTCCTTCATGCAGCCTCTCTCCCCACCCAGTCATCTCCAAGCATTGGTGCAAAGACAGCCCTGTGTCTCTCCACTACTACTTCTATTCTGCTTGTCTTGTAGCCAAGCTTCTAGGACACACTGGAGATGCCAAGTGTGCATCAAAGAGATGCTTTTTCTTCTACATCCAGCTTTATGTGTGCAAGGACAGTTGACACATAATTAATAATTAGTGATTTATAATTTAATATTCAGTACATGTGACTAAGTAATTGAGCCTTTGGGCTGTGTAAATATTAAGGAATGTGTCTGAGCTACCCAGAGACACAGTGTTTTAAATTACGGGTATGGTGGGACATTTTACCTGCTAAGAACATAAAGGACGTGAAATGAAATAGCAGAGGTGGAAATGCTGATTAAATTTATTTCAGCTTGGATTTGTAAATCCAAGGCTTCCCCAGCCACATTCTTCTATGCCTTACATCATACAGACTCCCTGGACCAAATTTTGACTCCAGGAGCTCATTTGAGACTCTTTGTAAAGCCAAAAGGACCTACACAGAAGTCCCTGGAGGCAAATTTTGGTCTCCTGAATATATGAAAGCACAAATATTACCCTCAATGAGATGCTCCTCTTCAGTAATATGTACTTTCTCAACGGCTTCCAGTACAGAGCTGTCACTGCCCTCTACCAGCCCACTGTCCTCTGCTGGTCCTGGAGATGCCCCAGCATCTTCTCGTGGCGCTGGCGGTGAAGGCTCCCTGCTCTCCTCTCGCCACACAGAGGGCAGCTCAGAGCTCTCCTCCTCTCCTGCGGGCAGGGGCTCGGTGCCCTCGGGCTCCTCCCTTTCACTGACCGACTCGGCCTTGCCCTCCGTGCTCAGGACGGCGGCTGAAGCCTCCTCTCCCGGCAGCTGCTCAGAGGCAGCGCTCACACGCCCTGCTGGGTCCCGCTGTGTGTGCTCAGCCACAGTTCCATGGTCATCTGCAGTCACGGTGTTTGCACCTGAGGATGCTTTTAGTTACAGCAGGGCAAGGAAAGGAAAAAGAGAATTACATATAATTGGTGAATGGGCACATAAGCTGGATTACAACTAAACCCACAGTGAACCACACAAGCAGTACCTGACAAAGAGCTCCCTCCTGGCTGGGGAAAATACTCCCTCACAGGTCTGCTGCACATATCCACACATATCCAGTAGAGATGATGCTGCTCTTATACTAAAATTAAGTTTTCATTTGATGCATGTTATATGAAGAGAGCAGATTTTTTTGCAAGTCAATGTTCTATTACATTTTCCCTTTTGAATCTGCAGTGTGCAGGTGGTTTGTTAACGATGGGACAGTGCAAGGAAGCACCTTTTCCTGCCCCAAACCAAGCACAGCATCAATGGGGGGAATGTGAGGGAGCTGCTGTCCTGGGCTGTGTGTGAGAAGTTCTGGTGGTACCTTCAGTTGGACTGAATAAAACCCCTGAGAACTCAGAGGATGAGCAGTGCTCACTTCTTAAAACAAAAACCACTTTGTCTTTTTCAGTACTAAACCACAATTCATACCATGATTTGTCTGATAAAAAATTCAACAACAGGAAGCCTAAACAAATTAAAACTTCCACTTCTTTCATCTTTCATCAACATATTGGCTAGTAAAGCAATGGGTTGTGGCAGAAAAAAATTTATTAATAAAGTACTGACAAAATTACTTTGACAGGTATTTAAGGATAAAAGCTGAAGACTCAAAATGAGCTATACCTACCTATCAGACTGACTTACTAACATTTTGATGAAATTCAGTTTGACAGGATCTTCTATTTAACCTTTTCCTAAAGAATGTCAGGATGAAACCCCTGGTAATTCAAGCATGAAATCTGTTTATATAATAATTACAAAACTGGAAAAACTGTATTTTCTGAGAAAATTATGATTGCAGTGTCACAGGCAGTAAGCAGAACCATATGATACTGTTCACAGATGAACACATCTATACATTTCATATAGACATAGATGAGCAGGAGAAAAAGTAGTATACCCTACTCTTAAAACATTTGTTTCAATACTGCTGCCCTTGAAGTAAATTTACAGTTATTTTGAGACATTCAAACAAAACAGCTCTCCAGCAAGTGTCACCTCATCAGCATGTGCCTACAGACCCAGGGAAGGATGGCTAAGCTAGAAGAAGAGCAAGAACTGAGAATCTGGGCTGTTGGGACAGACAGAAGGCAATTTTGACTATGAGGCAGATAAAATCTCATTTGTCCCAGGAACTGTCAAACCACCCAAGTTCCAACCAACCCCTCCAAATCCACAATGAAAAGGCAATGTATAATGCAACTCCAACAACAGAAGGCAAACTCAGCTACGGGTCTCTGACAACAGACCCCTCCCCCAGGGCAAGAACCTGCCTCTGACAGCTGCCAGGGGCAGGGGAAAGGGCAGAGGGTCCCAACCCATGGGCTGAGTGTCAGTCTGTCAGTGGAATTCTTCTGTCAACCTGCTCAAGCCCCTTTCCAATCTGTTTACACTCAGTGTCCACTATACCCAATGGGAATGAGGGTTGCAGCCCACTTACATCCCCTGTAAAACACATCTTGGCTGGTTTTAAGCCTGCTGCTGGTCATTTCATCAAGTGGCAGTTCTTGCATTATGAAAAACACCAGATATACTTCCTTGGTTGCTTTCTCTAGATCTCTATCACACCTTGTCTTCCAAGCACTCCTTTTCCTAAAATGAAGCTCAAGGTGAAACAGATACCAAAGCAGAATAACAGTGAGTAAATGTTAAACATAAGCTGCTCTAATCAGTGATTTAAAAAGCAATGTATGCTCAGAGACCAGAAATTCAATGTTTTCACATTTTTATTTTTTGTCCCTTTAGACACTTTCCATGCCTTCACCTTGCTCAGTGCCAGATGGACAGAGAGCATTTAAAGCCTGCAGACAGAAACAATGAGCCATGAAAATTAGCATCTTATATAGAGTTTTAATTCATGTTAGCAGTAGAAGAAACAATTCAAATGTATTGTTACTAAGAATCTCCTGCAGCTCCTATAAGCATCAGTCCTATAACTTCCAGCTAGCCCTCTCTACATCAAAATGTTTTATATAAATTGGATTATAAAATACTGCCATGCAACACAAGATCTGCACTGCTGGAAACCTTGGAAGCATTCCTGTGCTCTCATCTGAAATGCAAAGAATTCCCTAATATGGAAAAAATAAATCCTCTCAGTAATCTGTTCAATACCTTTATCCCCAAGAAAAATGAACATCGTGTGGCAGTCAGCATTCCTAGGATTCCTTCTAGTTTTTTTTTAATTTTTAAATTTAATTTTTTTTTTTCCCTGCTGTAGACTCTTTTAGCTAGAGAAACAAAGAAAAACACAGTGAATGTATGTGGGCCATAGCTACAGTATTTTCTCTTTGCCTTCTTTCCTTTTGGAAAAGCCTCAAAGTTTTATGATTTACACATCAATGGAAGAAAATGAAATACATTTCCCTCTATTAACTTACTTAGAGAAGTTGGGTTTTTTCAAATTATCTTTTCTTATTAAAGTAAGTTAGCAAATTATTAACATATCTGGTTAGTGATTGCCAAATTAATGCAGATCTTTCAGCTGTAATTACAAACTGCATTTCATCCTCACCATGACATTAATGTAAGTATTTAGTACATTTCATGACCTGTCCTGCCATGAACATGCTTTTATACAGAATAAATACTCAGAATAAATTACTTCTTCTGTTTCTTTGAGCCCTTCCATGCTCCTGTGCAGGTATCATTTAGTGGAGGATGGAAAGGCAGAGGAATTGGTACATTGACCAGGTGACTGAGACAGCAGGTACAGCATAAAGGGGTTTCTCCTGATACTCTCAGCAGATGTGTGCTGGCTCTGTGGTGGCACAGACACCTGCTCTCCCCTCTGCAGTCACAAGCCACAGCACCACAAGACAGCACACAAAATATAAACCCATGCAAAACCCATGGATGCTGCAGGCAGAGTAACAACAACAGACCGTAAGTCAAGAATATAGGAAAGAAATACAGTAAAATGAAATGCAAACAACTTTTTTGGATCTGCCTTTGAGATGGATCTTTCTGGAGAGGACAATTCCTGTAACTGCAGCGTTCAAGTTCTTACAGAAGAGTTTCCAAAACTTCCTTGGAGCAAAGAGCTAAATATGATGAATATGGAAACAAAGTTTAGTTTTAGTTCTACTGAATAGCAAGGATATTCTTATGGGGCATCCTGCAAATATAGCTTGCTCACAAAATTAGTCTGCTGTGACTTGAGCCAATTAAAGCCACAGGAACATTGCCGATGCTGCACACTATGTCGGGGTGGATTTTGTAAGAAAAAGGAAGGATAGTAGGATCAAATATTGCTAATTCATTATTCTTTAAAGAAGGAAAGAAAGGGCACTAGACTGGCAAGGTACTACACAAAAAGACCAAGAGCAGGACGCACCTGGAAATTAAACAAACAAAAAAAAAAGCCAGCGGAGCGGAAGGGACTTAGGCATTCATTCACAAGTTGCACCAGTTTCGAAGCCATCACTGACCGGGCGCAGCTCCCTCCACTGCGCGGGCAGGATTAAAAGCCGAGGCAAACCCGACGGGCTCCTGGCCCCGCGGGGTTTCTGCGGGACGCGCACCCGCGGCGCCTTCCCCGCCACGGGACGGACGGGACAGGACCGCCCTGAGAGCAGCGCGGCCCCGCACCCCAACGAGCTCTGCGGGTCCCCCCGCCCGGCTCCCCCGCCCGCTCACCCGGCAGCGGCGGCGGCTCCTGGGCCCGGCTGCGGGCGCTGCTGGAGCAGGGCCGCCGGCAGCACCGACCTGCGGGCCCGGGGGGGCGGCCCCGGCCACGGAGCCTCCCCCGCCGCTCGGGCCTGGCTCCTGCCCCGGGGCGGATTCCTGCGCTGTCCAGGGTGCCGCAAGGTGTGAGTGGCAGCCGGCGGGCAGGGGCTGCAGGTCCGTGTGCCCCGGAGTTTAACCCCGGGGTGCGCTCGCGAACCCCTCTAACAGGCTTTGAGCCACGATAGCATCAAGTAGAGGAGACCGCAGCCCGGGTGAAGGGTCCAGCTCTGGCAGCGGGATCAGACGGACTTGGAGGCCACACCGATGTTTGGCGGTCCGTGAATGCGAAGCTGAGACTGGGGGTGTGGGGTGTCCGTAGGGAACCCCAGACCGGAGCCGCGAGAGGAGCGGCAGGGCTGGGTTATGTGCACTGGCTGTGTGGTTGGGGCATCCCAGGGGTGTGCTCATACCCACACAGGAGCCGCAGCCCCGCTGCCAGCCCTGCCTGCACTCAGGAACAGCTGCAGGATGCACCCGTGGGGCTGAGAGGGACAGACAGACCCCTGCGGTCTCAGCAAAAAGGAATCCCTGGTTTGCAGAGTCCTCTGGGTTCAGCAGCCACCTGCAACACCCTTAGCATCAGCCTGAAAGGTAAAATAATACTAATATTTTTATATTTGCATATAGGCAAATCAACGGATGTCCAGGAATGCTGAGGTGGCCTAAAAACTTCCCAGAGTGTAAGAATGAAAAATCTTTTCCACACATTTGCTTGCATAAGCAGATAATGTATTTATTGCACCCAAGACATAACTTGATTATCATGTCAAATTTAGACTAATCATGTGTTCTTCTAAATGAACTTTTTAAATCCACCCAGAAATTTATTCAGACAAATCATATTGTATTCAGACATTTGTCCAGGGTTTGTGATGTTCCACAGCCAAGGTAGAGCAGTAGCAATAAATCCAATATTTTCTGCAACAGTTTCGGCTTCCTCAGTTTGAATTAATTTTCAGGATGCTTTTAAAAAACAACATTAAAAAATCCATTGTAGGCTCTATAGATTTCTATGTGGCTATATATAAGATTAATATGCAACACTAGACACTGAAATGCTGGTAACTTTACAATTAGCAAAACGTGTTGCTCTGTGACAACAAAAGCAGATGTGCAACAAAGGGCTTAGCAACTTAAAAATTAATTTCAGAAATATTTAACATTCATGCTGCTGATGTGAAATCCTGACTGCTGTGTGGCAGAGAGAATAGGGACAGGCGATCGGAAGATTTCGGGCTGTCACGGAAACCTGATAGGGCCTCTCTCCCCTGACTCCCAGAGATAAGGGATAGCCGCAGGACAAGAGGCCAAGAATGTAACCCCTCCTAACACGGCCTCCACCCAGTTTCCTTACTAACCATATAAGGCAAAAGTCAGACCCCAGAAGGTAGAAGGAGGACCAAGGGTATATATACCGAGGAGAAAACCAATAAAGGACTCTTGGACCGTCTATCATATTGATGTTTGTGTGTCCTTAGCCCGAACGGCCCAAAAAGCATTGGGTCGTCGTGCTGCGTTTCCTTGGAACCAGGTCGTCACGCCTTAATCTTAAGGCAACAAGTGGTGCCAAAACCCGGGACAAAAGAGGAAAAAACGGGAGGAAAAAAGGGAAAAAAGAGAAGAAACAGAACCTGGGATCGGGAGTCTCCTGGACAAGGCCAGCAGCTGCGTGGGGTCCTGGACCCCACCAAAGCGAGGAGGGACGCCTCTGGGACCGCCACAGCCTCATAGAAGTTGTGGCCTGAGTCGTGCTGGGACCGCCATAGCCTCATGGAAGCTGTGGCCCGAGTCGTGAGTTATTTTCATTTACAGTGGGGTATTAGATGTGACTTCAAGCATTTTCAGCTTGCTATTAATAGGCTCCAAGAGCTAGGGACGATAAATCGTCCCATAGACATATTAAATTTGGAGGTGTGGGAGAGATGTACGATCGCTTTAGCCGAGGATTTGAAGGTTACAGGCAGTGGGAAATGCCTTAAGGCGTGGGCTAAAGCAGAGGAAGCTTTAAAAAAGGCTTCAGAACAGCAGGAGGCATGGGAAGCAGCGAAGACCATGCTGTTAGCAACCCCAAAAATCGGGAGCGCGGCTGCGACACAAACTGCCCCTGGAAACAGCCCGGAGGGGGGCGGGAGTGCGTGGGAGGCGGGCGTTCCCTGCCCGAACCCGCGCGCGGACGCGAGCCTGGGTCGGGACCACCCGGGCCCCGGGGGGACCCCCCCGACCCCTCCGCAGTGCCTGCGGGACTCCCCGACCCCGCAGCCCACCTTGCGCACCTTGCGGGATGCCTTGAACCCCCCGCGGAGTGCGCCCGGCCCCGGCCCGCCTCCTGTTGGGAAGGGACGTCCTTGCTATGTTAGGAGTCAGGATCACAAATTTATAATGAGGGCCACTGCCATACACCCTGTGCTGCCAATCAAATTGACTTGGAAATCATCAGACCCCATATGGGTCGAGCAGTGGCCCCTATCTGAGCCTTGGGTAGCAGCCTTATTAGAATTGGTCGATCGCAAGCTACAAAAGGGTCACATAGAACCGTATACATGGACGACATCCTGATCGCAGCTCCATCAACAAGCCAGGTGGATCACCTGGTGTCCACAATCACAGAAACCCTGCGAGCCAACGGTTTCGAGATCGCGAACACAAAGATCAAGAAGGGACCCTGCGTGACATTCCTGGGAGTAGGGATCACAAGCTCCTACGTGACCCCTCCAAGGGTGGGACGAGGGTACGCAGCAGTCAAAAAAGACAAGAGAAATCAGGTGGTGTCCACTTAAATCGATCAAACCAGATCTCCAAAAGTTGGAATGGGTCATCGTGCTGCATTCCTTTGAACCAGGTCGTCACGCCTTAATCTTAAGGCAACACTGCTGTGGTAGGAGTGAGGTCAGTTCCCTACACAGCATGTGAGGATTTCCTGAACAGCACAGAAGACACCCAGGCATCCATCCCACTGCTCTGCTGCCACAGGTAGGAAATAGAAGTGTCTGGGACTCTGAAGCTGAGGAAGCCTGACATGTCAGGAAACATACCTGAGATCCCACCTGACTTCTGTGATCTTTCACAGAACAAAGTAAAGAGGACAGGCCACCAGGACAGGCTCATCAAACACTGGGCACTGAGAAAATAAGAAAGGGAAGGCTACATTCAGTTCATTCTCTTGCCTGCAGAGCTTTGTACCTGCTTCCCTCCCTAACCAGAGGGTGTGCAGAGTGCACCTACCGTGCAGCTTACTGCAGCTGCAGCAGAGAAGGAACTCAAGGTTTACAAGGCCAGAGAGAGGGAGCCCGGGTCAGGGGGTATCAGCAGCAGGGCTCACCAGGCTGCTCTGTACTTCATGTTCTTTAAACAGGCCTTGGATAGGATACAGAAATAGAAATGGGAGCCCAAGGGCCATTTGGCAGGTGGCTCCCACAAACACTAATTAACAATGTCATGGTCTTCCCACTTTCTGCATGAAGGAGGAGTTGCATCTTTTGTGCAGGAAGACCGGACATAACAGAGCCAGGGCTGAAGTTGGACCAGGCAGGGCACGCCGGTCCAACTCATATTTAACCTCAAGGTTTTCCCTGTTCCCTGATGTGAAAACCTTTCTGCACCTGACCCTCCTTCCTTCCTTCCTTCCTTCCTTCCTTCCTTCCTTCCTTCCTTCCTTCCTTCCTTCCTCCTGGGAGAACTTCTGGTAACCGTTCCTGCACAGGGAGAGCGCAGGGACCGGGCTGGGACAGGGGGCACAGACAACCCAGGTGCCGTGACCCCTGTCCAGCCACACCAGGGTCCTCCCTCCCTCCCTCCCTCCCTCCCTCCTCATAGTAAAGCTGCTTCAAGGGTGGCTGAAGAAAGGTTTTCATTCAGATCTAGTGGACCTGTGCCTTAGTGGGATTCTAAATTCCCAGTAAGCTGAAACAAGGAGCTGCATTCGTCTGCCTGACAATACAGGACATAGCTCAGGGCACAACCCTGTGAAAATCACATGAACATGTTTGCATTTGCTGTAAATGTAATAATTATCAGAGAACACAATCTGTCACTTTTAATAGCTCTGATGTGCAAAACTAGAGAACAATGGCTGCAGGTGTTCACACAGCATTGTTGTATAATTGTGCAAAGACTTGACCAGACTATAAATCAAAGCAGGACTGCATTTTTTGCATATTTTCATCCTATTAAAAAAAGAGTTATGTTCATATTGGTAAAATAAAGATATAAGCCTAGCTTATCAGAAGATCAGTTTTCTTTTCTGAATTGAATCTCCTAGCATGTGACCTGTGGCACCTGAAGGATGGCTGAAAATGTCTATCAGAAAGTTCCTTTGGAAATGCAGAGATTTTATTTTTTTTTAAAGCACATTACTAGAAAGAAGTAGTTTTATAAGCGGCTAAGGAAAGATGTTGTCTCCTAACGTAAGTGGAGGCTGCAAGGGTATCCTTGGAAACAGCTCCCTCTCCCGGAGCCATGCATGGCTCCCGCATCTTGCAAGGTGACATAGAACCTGGAGTAGTCCAAAGGAATGGCACCGAGGACTCCACAAGGCTCACTGAGCCATCCATTACTCATTTGCAAGGAATTTCAACAAGGATGAAAGATGAATGTTTCCCCAGATCATAATCAACCGAGTAAAAGTATAAAGAGTTAAAAGCAAAGTCACAGTTTGATGGGGAATAACAGCAATGCACCTGAGGGCTGGGACAAGGGGAAAAGAGGAAGAGGAAAAAAAGGAGATATGGAATGGAGTTTACTTTTCAGTTGCCAAAGAAAAGTTTGAAGTACACTTCACAATTGATTTAATCATACTCTGTAAAGGGATATAAATATTT